CCAGCCTGGCCTTGAACACTTCCAGGGATGGGGCATCCACAGCTTCTCTGGGCAACCTGTTCCAGTGCCTCACCACCCTCTCCATGAAGAATTTAATTTATGCACAGCTTTCTACTCTGCATTATAATTTTCCAATAACCACATTAAATTTTACTTATCTGAAAAGATAAATGTTATAAGCAAGAGCTATAACTTCAAGATCAAAGCTGAAAAAACTTTCTATATAGCATATAGAAATATAAACAAAATTAATTGATTTAATTAATTAATTAAATTATCTTAATTAATTGAATTAATTAATTGATTGATTGATTGATAAATACAACACAGCTTCTTACAGTGGCCTGCAGTCAAAGAATAATTCATACACAATCAAGGGCCTAATATTCCTTTTGACACTTATCAACACAATACAGGTAATAACTCCTAATTAATACTGTGCTGATTTCTTATACATAAATTGAGTATTACAACTGACACGTACGAACAGAGATGAGGGTACAATACCTGTCTAAGGTTAATAATATGGTTTCATTCATCTCGGGTATATCATCAGCTTTAACAGTAATGTTGATTGTAGTGTCACTTTGTCCAGATAAGAAAACGACAGAGCCATTAAAAGGACTTATATCATCATGTGTCACTGCCTTCTGATTGACACCGGATGGTTTCAAACTCCAGAATACAGTTGCTTGACCATCGGTCCCATCTCGATGTAATGCAATGGAAACCTATGAAACACATGAATCTCTTGTGACTTTTATACTCCATGAAAGAATAATTATTCCCTTGCAAATTACTATTTGAATATGAGCCTCAAAATGTTTAGCCTGGTTTTTTTTCACAAATACCTTTGATTTCATATGATACCTTTCACTCACATATCACATATTTGATACTTTTCACTCATACCTTTGATTTTATATGATATGAAATCAAAGATGGTGTATCAATGAAAATAGATGCTGAATCTAACCCTTTTAACTATTTATCAGTTACATACTCAGTGGAGACAAGAGATTATTTTTATCACAAATCCCTACACAACAATAAACACAGAAAGCCTTGTATGATTGATTTAATCAGTGCCCACCTCTCCAAGACTCAACATAGATTTTAAATATAACTATCATCATTTTACTCTGGTTATTACAGTACAGTGCAACATGTACTCTACTTAAGGTACTTAGCCGTTTTAATAGGAGAATGAGAGACAAGTTATGTGAATCAGGATCTGTGGGAAGATTTCAGTGAACACAGCTATGGGAGAAAGTAAAAAAGTATGACAAAACATTTCAAAAAAGGTTTCTCCAGCTGGGGCTAAGGCACTCAGCTGCATGGCAATGCTTCTGAAACCTGAAAAGCACAGTTGTTGTGACACACGCCCAGCGAACCAAAAAATGTGTTCACATAGAAGTCAGTCAACTATAAGTTACAGAGACAGTTCCATAAAATCTAGAACCTGTGGCAGTCTTACTTTACATTACTATCTTTGCAGCTGGTGACAGAGGTTAGAACTGTCACCAGCATCCGTTTGGGATGTTTACAGAGAACGCAAAGCTCAACCTCACTTTTCTGATAACGACTAGCACACCTCAGCTTTACAAGCAACTTTTAACTTTTTTCCTTTTTTTTTTTTTTTTAAAGCAAGGGAATATTAGGGATCAGGCAGAACTCAGAGAAAGGATTTTTCTCACATTAACTTTCAAATGTTACACTGAATATAGAAAAATTCTTTCTCCAAATACATTTTCTATACTAAGGGACAATATAAAAAGGTTCACTTACCACAGTAGCAGGGGAATCTTCTGGCTCAGAAAGAATAACTGGAAGATTGCTAGTAAAGCCTATTTCACCATTTGCAATATCTGGAGCAATCCTCAGAGAAATATTTCGAATCTCACCTAATCTAGGGCTCACAGATGGGACTGGAAGAATTCTATTCACCAGCTCAACTTTTTCCACCTGTAGGAGAAAGACAAAATTACAAAATAAGAAGCCTTAGTACCAAGTCAGAACAATTCTGACATTTCAGAATAAGTTTCATATTCAGGGAGCAGAACATCTCCAGAAAAATGTCATTTACTGACAATATTGCTGTTACAAAAATGTAGAAGCAGGTATGGAAATGAAATGAAGTGGATACCTCTGAGCTTCGTCAGCAGAATGGTACACCTCTCAGACAAATCATGTTTTGTGTACACAACTAAATGTATGTGGAGGGAGAATGAACCTTATAGAAGAGCCATTTCAATACCAGACCTATGAATAACAGTACTGATTCATCAAGTGACCCAAGCTACTTGTTCTAACTTCATTTTTTGCATCATGCATCGATAAAATTCTGAATTCACTGGAACCATAATAATTTACAGCCTCTGATGAAGCTAAAGAATGATGCAATATTGTTTCCTCTCTCATAGAACTTCAAGGACTTCTCTATGTATAACAACTAATACATTAGAATTGCATTCAGAATTGAAAATTAGTACAGTATTTCAACACTGTAGTCTTCCCTTGTGCTACCCTATTTCTGACAGTTTATTGATACAAAGAAGAAATAGGAAAATGTTTACCCTTTCTTTGAACGGGACGTAAAACCCACCTAACCCAGAAGCTAAGGAGAGCAGGATCTGTTTACTTAAATTATTTCTTTCAAATATAATTTATACCATGTGATTCTGTCTATATCTATCATTATAATAAATGTTTCCATAACTGATTGGGATATGCTTCTGCAAACATTACACTGGGGCATGAACCCCCAGTGGCAGCCACCTTTTAACTCCCATAAGGATGTTTTTTTGCTTGGAGTTATCAGATATTATCACATACGAAGGTTTTATTGAAGGAGGAGGAAGTGGCCTTATTTAAATCCATATAGTGATCACAAATCACCATTTCAAATGATGATTTTTAAAGTCCTTCAGTCCTTAGGAACAACACATATACAATACATGGCAGTATAATAGTTATCTCCACCACTGATTGAGTAACACACAAAAATACTCATGCACATTTTATTTTATGATAGAACCATTTTACAAGTACTGTATTCAGTAATGGCTTCTCAGCCATACCAGTTAGTTACTGAGAGTCTGAGGAACAGATGGTGGGAATGTTTGTTTTGCTTGTTTTCTAAGCTTTCTTTTGGTAGGCCCGGATACTGCAATTAACAGTATGCAGGTGGACCACTGTGGGGTTGTCAGCTCAACAAAGTTTCTGAAATATTACACAGCTGAATCAATTCACTTGGTTAAGTGCTTCTGAACCAGGATAGTAACTCTTGAGATTAAAGTAAAAATTAATGAAGACCAAGAAAATTTTTTTTCAGTTCAGTGTTTTCTTTTAAAGCAAATCAGGTCATGAGGAAAAAAGAATGCACTGTGAACTGAATAATAATGACAAGTAGCTTATTAAATTAGTTAATATCTTCCTGTCCATACCAAAAACTGCATCTCAGACTACAGTAAATTATTTAATTGAAGATGTCACCAAAGAATGTTAATCTCACTTTTCCAGTTCCTTTATCCATCCTCCACTTGTGTTTAAGCTTCATTTCCTCCTCCACTCCTCCTCCCCTGATTCCTGAGTTGATCCTTCATTGTGCCTGGAGAAACTCTGTAATCTTCTCATTCTAAGCATGTTCACTGAGATTATCATTTATTCACAATGTAGAAGGATTGTCATAGTGATAAATAGGGGCATTTTTCTTCCTTCTCTGTGAGTTTCTAAATGAATTATTTGTGCTGGAAAGCCCCTCTGATTTTGTTTATTCAAACAAAAAGTTTTTATGGTTCATGGAGAAAGTACAGAACATCTACCCCCCGTCTCCCTGCAATCCACAGTTTGAAAAGCCGGGCAAAGTGCCTGCATCATGAAATATTTATCATATGTGTGTCTTGTCCACAGTCCACACTACAATGTTACTTATAATATACCATTTAACAGGGGCTTGGAATTAGATATTTCAATTTTTTGCAGATCTTTCAGACCTCATGCAGAGGTTAAACATACTAACCCATTGTAGTATTCCAGAATGCAATTCCCTAACTAACTGTGAATGCAAAAAAATTGCATTCTCATAAAACAATAATAATATAATTCTGGAAATATTTTTTCCTTTTTTTTTTTCTCTTAAGAGAATGTGGGGAGAAGGAGGTGGAGGGAATAAATCTTTTCAAGGTGCCAGAAGCAATTAACACATTTTTGCTAGACTGTAAATCTATGGATTTAACATCAGCGTCTTCATCTGAAAATTCTAGACATATGACTTCAAATGAAAAGATTAAAAGTGAACTAAGAAATTACTCTGTGATTTGTGTTTTGGATGTGCCAAATCATTTTACTCTCTGTGTATCAAGGTCTCTACCTGGGCTCATTATTCCAGATTACCATTTTTTAATCGCAGATTGTATGATTAAAATCATACTAGAGGTTAAAATCATAGTAGAGATTATGGTGGTCTTAACTGCAGATGACAAACCAAGTATAATAATAAGTATAACGGTAAGTACAACAAATACCGAAGACAATGTCCAGGATATTCCACAGCAGATTATCATAAATTCAATAATAACTTGCTAAAATGAAGCAAACTTGGGTTTCTGTCAAAAACACAGCTTTAGTGGTTTTTTTACAGCCAATTTTAATTAGTGATGACAGAATCTCTTTTCTTACAAATTCAGATATAAAAAAAAATGAAAAATCCTAAAGGACATATACAAGGAAAACTTGAAAAAGTACTTTTCAAGTTCTCTGGCCAAATTTACACATAAATGAAATGTGGTATATGTTTGACATTTTTAATGTATATTTACTTGCTTGTAATTTGTAAAATTTTTCATGCTTCTGTAATTGAATTTTAAGAACCTTAATTTGGTTAAATTGAAAGCCAAGGGGTAGACAGAGAAATGTAACTCAAAAAGTACTTAACTCTGCAACACTGACCTCATTTGTTAAATGTGATGATTAATTTCTGAATCCTGTTACAGTCTAGTTCTTAAAAGTGGTGTAATCAGTAAATAATTATTAGGAATAAAGCTCTTTATGACACTGTTGTGTTTTAGCTCTTTCCTGACTAAAACCAGCACTGGCATATTCATGGAAGGGGCCTCCAAGTAAGAACGTTTTCTTAGCGAAAGAGCTCATCACTTTTTTTCTTTGTTTTATCTTTTAACAGGTAGGACCATTTTCATTAAAGTAAGAGGAAATGAGCCACTACTACAATATATCCTTTATATTACACGGGCTAAAAAAACACCCCAAAACACAGCTGAGATACCTGAACGAGGAAATGAGCACCATTTTGAAGAAATGCATCATTTCTTATTGGTATATTTAAAGTATGTTGTGTTTTTCCTTCTGGAAACATGAGAACGCTTCTTCCAGACGTATTTAGAATGCCATCTTTCGCTCTCTCGGGATCCAGAGCTCCGGCTGGAATATACAGTGCAGTATAAACCAACTGCACATCTCCAACAGTTCCTCCCTCCCTTGCAAAACTCAAGGATAAAAAACGTCCCATTGGATTACTTTCAATCTTCTGATTCTCCAAAGGGTAAAACTCTATTACGCCATAAACATCATCACTGTCCTGAATGTAAAACAGAAGCTGCAAAACAGAAAACAGCGTCACTTGCTCTGTGCTACAGCTACCCTACACCATAGTTTTCATGCTTTCAGGAAAGCACATCCTGACTGTCACCATACATTTTTCTCCTTACTGAACTGGCACACAGGAAAGAAATCAGATTGACAGCCCCAGAGTATTCTTTGTACACAGGCAGCAGCACAACACTGACAGTGGCAACTTTCCCACTACACATTGCCCATGTGCCAGCATGAGCTCTGAATAACTGATCTTCTGGATCAGCAGCCAAAGTGAATAATTTAAAAATGTTTCAGATTGTGAAAAATTTCTTTTTATTCACCAAGTTCATTCCAACCATTTTTTGAGAAAGGTAAAGCAGGGACATGAGTCAGGAAACTGTCAGCAGTGCTACCCCCCCTTTTATTTAACTGACCAGAGGTTACAGTCTTAATCGCCAACCCCTTCTCTGGAAACTGTTACGTTGTGTGAAACACTCCAGTAATCATTAAGACAGCAAATAAGCAAGTGAAAATAACTTTCCTGCCTTCTCTTAGTAAGCAGTCACTCCAGACAGGATTTATACAATGCTATCTGTGTTGGGAATAATCTAAGGTGAATGCTACCCATAAAAAAGGTCTGGATTTACACGCTATGCTAAGCCAAATATATTGAATACAGCTTTATATACTAATATTATATTAGGATATTAGGGGTTAACTTGTTTGATTCACATCCACGTGCAAACTCTTCGGCCAGTTTAGCCAACCAATCAATGTTATCAAAACTGGCCAAGTCCCTAATTATTACCTATTATCTTCTCCAAAAGAAATTCTACAAGCTAACTTACCTCAGATGGTTCGCTGACTTCAGCACCTCCCTGTATTGTATGAGCTAAGAGTTTCAGAATATAGGGCTCTGCCTCTTCTGGTATGTCATCACTAACAACGTTCAGAGGAAGCATTACCAGCATCTCCCCTTGATCAAAACATATCTCCCCCGTCTCTGGCATGAGGTCCGCGGTCACAGGTGAGGGATCGCTGCTATTTCGGATTATAACCCAGGTAATGGAAACATTTCCATGTGTTCCACCATTTCTTACAACTGTGATCCCTTCAAACCTACAGTTTAGAATAAAAATAAAAACCCACAATACGGAATTATAATTACCATTGCCTTGCTTCGTTACCGATTCCCTGAAAGATTTACAGACTTCAGTGGAACTAATGTTAACTGCTGCAACAGTCATTTGAGTCAGGACTTCAAGACTGTGAAATAATAAGATAAAGGTAGACTTTTCTTAGAGCACTTATTCATGAGCTCTCTGTAATGTCTCTAAAGATATTTTTTAGAACTTATTTTGTTTACAGCGAGAAGTATACGGAGAGGTGGAGACTAGGCATCTTTTACATCTGACTTAAGAAATACATGTCAAATTCCAGAAATCTTTTTTTCTATTAACTTTCTACACCACCTTATAAACTCTATCAGAATACATTTGTCAGCTGAGCATTCAAATAATTATTCTGAATTAATTATTTGCCCCTGTACTGACATATTAATTTATTGATATTTATGATACTGGAAATGTCATGTTTCCTGCGTCTCGCAAGCATATGACTACAAGAAAATGTCTAGGAATCATGATTTACAAATATTTAGAAGCAAGATTTATTTCTCTACTATTTATAAGTAAGAAAGATGGATACTTAAGTGCTAGGCTTAACATATTATCAAATATTCTCTTGAAGCTGTTCACAGTAGGATAGCTCGATGCATCACCTGTTTCTCTGGGGATGAACTACGATCAGTACCCAGCAGTGTCCATTCTTACTGACACTGTCAACACTGTGTACCTGTCCTGCCTGTAAAATCCCTACAGAGCTTCGATTTTAATCTCTCTGTGAAATTACAAATACCTAACTTATTTCTAAGTTTAAGGTAAGTATTTCATGGGAGACACTCAACACTTCTTTTTTTAAACCAGAGGCTGATTTTACACATAGTAAATACAAAAATTTACCAGGGAAGGAAGCCAGAAATTTATTTCCCACTTGAATGAACTGGTGACTGGCAGCATCATGACTTCATTGATCCTGTCTTTAGATTAAGGGGGTTTTGGTATTTTGATAATGTGATTAAGTGTTTACAGTTTTTACATACAGTTCATAAATATTAAAACAGTTGCTGTATAATTAGACATCCCCACTTCCTTGAAATCTTTGTAGATATAGTTTATAACAATAACAACACAATAAATGATTTCTACATTGTATTTTCAGTAGTAATTCTGTTATTAGTTTCAGTGAAAACCTGAGGATGTCTAACAATGACAAACAAATCTCTTAAACTGTCTAGATACTAGAGCTGAAGAACTGTAGTACCTTGAAATTTGGTCTTCATCAATGACAACAGTCTGAGCAAACAGGATACTGTTGATGGATAGTACTCCATAGGGTTTATCATTCAGTTGGATGGTGACATGAACAACAGATGGATTAATCAAAACAGCATCTCCCTGCAAAGTGTCCTTAAGAAGCATAATCTGAAAAGTCTCAGCAATTTCTGGTATGGCATCATCAAGAATCTTAAATTTTATGTACGTTTCATGAACTAGAGGCGGGAAAACAATAGTTGGATTTGGCTGTAGATCTAGGAAGTCTACATTAAGCTGTGCATGTGCTGTTGAATTCCCAGTTATGATGGCGTAACTGACAGAGACTTCATATTCATCAGGTCCAATTACTTTCTCACTGTCATCCTTACCACGAACCACTTGAATTGTCAGCACACCAACTTCCTCAGGCACCATATAAGCACTCTGAATAAAGCGCACAGGGCTGTCGTTTTTCTTAATATTAATCTGAACAGACTTTTTTGTGTCGTTGATTTCAGCCCCTCCCTCCACGCTCCTCAGATGAACAAAAAATGATTCATCATTTTCAGGTATCTGGAAAAATAATATTAGCCACTATATGTAAGTCATATTCCAAATACATACAAAACACACTTACTGAGAAATCAGTTTTATATATTTTGCAGAAAAGGGAAACAATACAAACTTGATGGCTCATTTGATATTAAAACAAACAGGAGAGAAGTCTTGGCTTCTCTCTTTGGCTGAAGATCCTTTCTCAAAATCCAATGTTTCAGTATTCTGAAACATGCTTCTGTGCTCTGGCAATATGAAAAAGGGTGAAAAGCAAAACAAAGGCAAAACAAAAAACCAGACAGGAATCAGGAAAAGCTGGATCTTTCCAATTTGAGACTACGAGGAGATCCAAACACTACTTTTAGAAGTCACTTCTATTTGGAAATAAATGTTCATGCCAGTTATTTAAATGTGCATCTTGATCTTCTGATGTTAACACTCATTTGCCTTTATGCCTGAGCGAATACACGACCAATTTATGGACACAGCCTACCTTCTTGGCCCATCCATTCCTGTACAACCAGAAAAGGAACACTTTCTGCATTCAGACACACCCCCAGAGAAAATCTCTGTCACAGATCTCAGAAAGTGCTTTCTGGTGCTTAGCAATTAATTAGGCTTTGCTATTTTCATAAGATGGATGTTTAAAACTATGTTTTAATTTTATCTATTTCTTCTCCAGTAACTGATGCAGCACACAATAAAGAATGTCTTATAAATTGCAAATTGCAGAACTTAAGGATGAGATTTTTGCTTTATATTACGACATTTTATTCCCCAAAACTTGATCTGCTAAACCTATTTAATGAAAAAATAAGAATATTATTTTAATACCTACAATTAAAAAGTAAATCTTTAAAAACTATTTATGAGCTTTGCATCTCATCCTCGCTGTGGGCTCCTGGAAGGTAGTACTATTTGCTTCTGAGAGGATTTCCAGCACATTACTTATTTTTTGCAAATGGTAATACTCTATTATAAAGTTGACAAATCCTTTTCATGCCCTTTTGTTTAGCGAGCTAAAAAGTTCTGAAAACCCTGCTGTCCAATATTTCTTCTCTTTCACACTCATTTGTTAATTGGCCACCCTCAGATCCTTTTCAAGAGCTAACAGCGTGGGCATGCAACTGCCTTTATAGCTGATGCCAATTCTGTCCCTTGTTTGGCTTGTGGCACTTAAACTTGCACAATGTTGTTGACTGATGTAGGGGTTTCTTGTCAATGTGAGATTTGGAAGCTCTCAGTCACCTCTCTCCCATACTGAGATACAATGCAGTTATTTTACCTTATTAGAATGGATGCTAATTTATATTTTGTTTAGTCCAATAATTAATATAGGATCTTGCACCATAAAACTACACATTTAAGAGTCAAAATGTATGTGCAATTGTAGTTGTAGCTTACATCTTAGTCTCTCATACAAATGGGACATTTTGGAGTTCTTAATGACATCCTGACTGACCAATTAAAAAACAGTCAAACTTTAAAGACAACAGTATAAAGGTTTTCCAGTCCTGCCTCATTTTTTTTATTTTCTCTTCATAGAATCATAGAATCATAGAATGGTTTGGATTGGAAGGGACCTTACAGACCATCTAGTTCCAACCCTCCTGCCATGGGCAGGGACACCTTCCACTAGACCAGGTTGCTCAAAGCCTCATCCAGCCTGGCCTTGAACACTTCCAGGGATGGGGCATCCACAGCTTCTCTGGCCAACCTGTGCCAGTGCCTCACCACCCTCTCCAGGAATAACTTCTCCTGATACCTAATCTAAACCTCCCCACTTTCAATTTAAACCCATTACCCCTTGTCCTGTCACTACAGACCCTTGTAAAAAGTCCCCCCAGCTTCCTTGTAGCCCCTTCAGGTACTGGAAGGCTGCAATAAGGTCTCCCCCGAGCCTTCTCTTCTCCAGGCTGAACAAACTCTTAATAAAGTTTCCATTATCCGTCATTAAAAAATAAATTATATACAGTAAAATTACCATAAATGTAGTGATGTGGAGATCAGATCTGCACTCTGCTAATTTCTGTAGGAAAAGGGCTACCCAATTCAGTAGCACACTTTTTTCATTGTTTTTCCTAACCTGACATCCAAAAAAACTTGAACTAAGTTCTGAAAGTAACACTGGAATCTTGTGAATACATCACCGCTGAAAAAGGTTTTTTTATACATATTTAATCTTTCATGTACACTTGTGAAAGACTTCCACTGAGTGGACCAGCCACACATGGAAAGATTAAACTTCAAGAAACAGAACTTTGAGAGCATTTCTCAGATGGGGGTGGGGTGGGGGTGGAAATCACAACCTCCTGAAAAGCCTATTTCTTTCTGTGTATAAATCACAGAAATATTACATCTAATCCAAGAGATGTTTCTACACACCAGTCTGGCATAGTCTCATTTTAACATTATAAATATCAGTATAAATGTGGAAAAACACTTTCTGTAAGTAACAGAAATATGGAAAAAAATTTGCTCACTTTTGAAATAGGCACTTTTGCTGTTAATTTTTCCACTTTACTTCCTATCTCATTTATAAAGGAAAAAAAAACCCAACACCAAACAAAACAGAAAATAAAAACATGGGTAAGAAAAATGAGAATCACAAATTGAAAAGTTTGTTTACTCTGAAATAGAAAGAAAGGCTCCCAACAAATTAACACTTTTTTTTAAAAGACCGATCAAAAATAGAAAATTTTTGATTACCACCTAGTGTTCAGGCTGTTCAAAAGATTGCCTGTTTCCTTTAGGAATCCTATCTTTTTATAGAATTAATTTTAAAAACATGTTTCTACTTTGAAATATATCAGTATAAAAACATATATGTTTTTTTCAATCTATCTTTTCTCTGTGAATATTCAAAGTGTTATATTCTTTATTTCATGGCAAACATAACATGTCTTCTTCATATGAATGAGAGCCAATCAAGATCAAGTTAACAAAGAATAAACTGGGTTCTCATGCACTGTTAACTGAAGGCAGAGGAGCTGTACAAGCATCACTGAGGATATAACCAAAAATTCATCATTTAAGTAATGTTTTGATAAGGTTCCTTTTGTCTAAACAATTAATAAAGAAAAAGGAGAGCCTGAGCATGTTATTCAAATCCAGCCTGAAGTCACAAGTCAGACAACTAGGGAAAAGTAGAGCACATTTAAAAAGAAATATAGAAAAGTTAAATACAGAAAGGACGGTCTAATACATAAACCTACATCTAGCTCAAGAACATCATCCTTGGCCATACAACAAGGACTCACTATTCTACCTGAATAAAGAAAAAAGTATACCTTCCTGATTATTTATACATTACTCCATTAGCATCTCCCAGGTCTATTCAGAGTAGCCTGGATATGTTCAGAAACTAAAAACATTCACTGATGGGAATTACAGAGGTACCATTAAAAGGAGTAAAAATGAGAGCCCATAGAGCCATAATCTAACATCACTTCATTAAGTAGAAACACTTTTAACCATATTAAATCCAAGCATTTTTGTAACTTACTACTCTAAGTCTCACATCTAGAACAGCAGTTAACCTTCTACATATCCAAATAAAAAATGAAATCAGCTTGTTCTTACCTGATCGTCAAGCACTGTTATATTATAAATAAGCATTGATATCCCCGGAGTAAAAGTAATATTTCCCCTAGCTGGACTTAAGTCTTCTTCAGCTGGGTTTGGTCCATCTTCTATCTGAAAATAATTGATTTTTACAATAATAAATATGTAAAACAGGGATACAAATCTAGTTCAAGTACAACAATCAATATACAGTATGTGACAGGCATAACAAATGAATATCTGTTCAGTCATCTCCTGCTCACAGGCATACACATTCAGTCGTGCAAATCCGCTCTTTTTTGGCAGACAGAGTAAGTATGGGGTAACCACTCTGAAGAAATTATGAAATGCCAGAAAAAGAGGAAGAAAACTGCTTCTATATAGGCCTATGAGGACTTTTTGGTAGGTACTGATGCATAATTGAATCACAGAATCACAGAATGGTTTGGGCTGGAAGGCACCATAAAGACCATCTAGTTCCAACCCCCCTGCCATGGGCAGGGACACCTTCCACTAGACCAGGTTGCTCAAAAACCCCTCGTCCAGCCTGGCCTTGAACACTTCCAGGGATGGGGCATCCACAGCTTCTCTGGGCAACCTGTTCCAGTCCCTCACCACCCTCTCCAGCAATAACTTCTCCAGGCTGAAGTCCAACTCTCTCAGCCTGTCCCCATAGCAGAGGTGCTCCAGCCCCGTGAGCATCTTCATGGCCTCCTCTGGACTTGCTCCAACTAGTTGATATCCTTCTGATGTTGGGCCCCCCAGAGCTGGATGCAGTACTCC